AATTCCCACTCTGCAATGTCTTCCGGTTTTCTTAAACGCTAGAGGGCGCTCCCGAGTGAGTCCAAAATGAATGGGTTGATCTGGAGCATTTGAGCAAAATCATAGTTTATAAATGTTTAAACATTTTTAATGTAAAAGAATACATTTATTTCCTGAACACAGAGCAGCATAAAACATTTTAACACTGCTGTTATATTTTTAAGAGCTTTTAAACTCGAGTTATAGGAGTTTAAAGCGGCGCCTCATGTACGTTCATGACATCTGTGAGCACGAACAGCCAATGAGCTGCTCCGCTCGCCAACCAATCATCATGCTCTAGCAGTAATGCCACCTTCTGCTGCCCAAAACCTGTTTGCTGCAAAAAAACGGAAATATATGGATAAGAGTTCTTTGTTTTTTTAGTGAAATACATCCTTCTACTTTCTAAAATTAAAGAAACGTTCTGGGTGAGTGATTAGAAACTATTTTAACTTTTCGTTTTTAGCCGTTGAGCTCCATTTACTCCCATTCATAGAGGACTCACTCGTGGGCGCCCTCTGCTGTTTAGCAGTCCTGTTTTTGATATAACGGGGGGAAAAGGAAGTGGCCAGGCTTCTCATAAACCGGCTCTGACCCAACTACAAAGCTAATCATACTAGCTAATAAATGAACTTAGCTACAAAGCTAATGCTAATGTTATTTTAGGAATGAACTTAGCTATGCAGCTAACAGTAATGCTATTTATAAATGAACTAGTTACACAGCTAATGCTAATGCTAAATTAACTCAGCAGCATGCTAACACTATTACATAAATGAAAATAATGTTAAGACACTGACTGCACAGTTTCTTGCAAACTCTTAAAGTAGAACATGTTCAAAGCTTGACCACTCAGAGAGACCTCTGACCTCTCTAGATGTTCAGCAGAACTCTAACTGAAAAAAACATAATTCACATAATTCTGAATCTGAGCATCAATAAGCTTCTGTCAGTTCATAAACACTGTAATTGCTGATGTTATTACTACTGCCAGTACACTTTTATAAAGGAACTCAACTTCAAAGCTAACACTGATGAGATTTCATAAAAGAGCCCAGCTATAAAGCTAATGCTAACGCAATTTTATAAATGAAACCAGCTGCATAAACAGCGCTAACAACATCATATAAATGAACCCAGACATCGCTGCTAGCAGTTTCTTGCAAAGTAAAATGTGGATTTTAGACTTTGTGAATAAGTAAGACTGACTTCATCACAAAATCTTTAAAACAGAGAGTATTTAATAGTCTGACCACACAGAGACAGCTCTGACCTCTCTAGATGTTACACCAGGGGTGTCCAATCGTGCTCCTGGAGATCTACCACCCTGGAGATTTCCGATTCAACGCACACTGTTGGGCCTCTGACAGCAAAGCTGGAGGCTCACTGGCTTTTTTCTCAGTGTTTTTCGGGTGGCCCACAGATGGTTAAGCAGAGTTTTAGACAAAACGTAACTTTTCACTGCTCACACTTCCACTTTTTGTTACTCAGTGGTATTTTTTATCAATACAGCCATAACTATTTATGTAAAAATAAATAGTTATATATATCACAACTTATAATAATATCACAACTGTCCAGCGTAAGTTCTCCTTTAGCAGCTGTAGCCAGTCAGCAGCCTGCCCATGCTATCCACCCTCACACACACACACACACAAACACATACACACACACAGACACACACACGCTAACAGCAAGCCATGTAGGAGGAGAACAGAGTGAAGGACACAGCACCTCCACACTTTTACTCCCCGCAGGTTCACCCAACACCACATGTGTAATATAAATGTGTGGGGGGTGAACAGAGTGAAGACACTGAAAATGGGTTATTTTATATATTCTTCACAGAAAATGAGGAAAGGGCAAGAAATCTGGGGATGAAATAATAATAAATCACATCATTTTTTCTTTTGGTAAACATTGAAAATGGGTCCCACAGACCTGAACACCACACAAGGGTTAAAAATGGTTCTTCAAGGGTTCTTTAGTAAAGAAAATGTGTCTATATAGAACCATGAACAGTCAAAGAACCCTTTGCATGATTAAGGATTTCTTTGTATCATTAAAGGGTTCTTTACATTGATGAAGAATGTACTGTAGATGTACTGTACTGTAATGTACTGTAGATTTTTGAAAATGGTTCTATATAGCACCAAAAAGGTTCTTCTATTGTAACAAGCTTGACATCATGACAATAGAAGAACCCTTTTTGGTGCTATATAGAAGACTTTTGAAAAAGGTTCTTTATGAAACAACAAACAACACGTTCTCCAACAATCTGAAGAACGCTTTCACAATGCAAAGAGCACTTTAATCATGCAAGGAGTTCTTTTAGTGTTCATGGCTCTATTTAGAGTCATTTGCTTTACTAAAGAACCCTTGAAGGACCGTCTTTTTTAAGAGTGCACAGTTTCTTTCTTTCGTTACCCTCTGTAAATTAGTTTAGTCAATAATTTTAACAGTAACATCATAAAAAAGCTGATTATACAGCTGTAACCAAACTATTAGACTAACAGGAACAACAAAATCATTTTATATTAGGCCTAGGCATTAATTTTGTTCTCTCAATTGTTTGTAATATTTGTCTTACTTTATTTTTCAAAATAAACGAATATGTGCCTTTAAAATCTGTCTGAGCAGATTAAAAACCTGTTAGACCTTGTATGCAGGACAATATCTGGCCCGATACATGCTTGCTAGCAGGGTGGTTGATCTCCAGGACCAGAGGCTGGTTTCACAAAAGCGTCTTAAGAAAGAAAATCTTCTTAAATGTGTGTTTTTTCTTTTTCTTAAGAGAAACTATTATTCTTCAAATCACTTCTTAAGAATTCTCTTATTTTACATTCTTAACTATTTTCTTAAGAATAATTCTAAGAACAAGTCCTGTTCCTGAAAATGTTATGTTCTAAAATGTTTTCTCAACCTTATGACAGCCTCACACAAGTCTTAGGCAGTTAGAGTTGACAAAGTCAGCGTATACATTTATTACGGACACTGTCTCTGCTCCTCCTGCCCATCCTCATTCATCAGACTTCTTAGGCCCAATCCAATTTCTTCTGTTTACCCCTACCCCTTGATTTCAAGTGTCACCCTAACCCCTTGGTACTCAGTTACATGCGATAGTGGTTGAAATATTGTCCTACAAAACAGGACAAACCTCAAATTAAAAAAAAAAAAACATTGCTTACTTAACAGCTACTAGCGCTGCTCTGCAGCCGGTCCTGCCAGTCTGCAGTGCTGACAGAGGAGGGTAAAGTTCAGCTCCTCACTGCTGGGCTTTAGTTACATTTAGGGCATCATATGCCTTCAAAGAGGGGGGCGATTATTTATTATCGCCCACCACTAATTCTTTGGTGATACGAAGCTGAAGTCAGATATTCACCAGCTTCTTGCTCGAATTTTCCCGTTCCACCTTAAATGGTACAGCAGTTACACTCAGGTGTCAAAACTGCTGGACTATTTAAGGTGGAACAGGAAAGTTAGCTAGCTAGCTACCGAGACATCAGCAAACTACTAGCGATTTTTTGTGCTTGTTATGAAGAAAACGACCATAATACACTGAAACGACATTAAACTAAGATAATACAGTGTTTAGCGTAATTTTTAACAGAGAAAATTCTCACATTTGTGGGTTTCTTTGGTCTCTTGTTCAGCCATCTTGCCGTTTTTTCTTTTTTTCTCATAACACTCTGTTTGGAGTCTCTGAAAAACCTTCATTTGGAGGGCCATGTAGCCCTAACACTTCACCCTACCCCTCTATCTCAACAAAAATTAGGACACCCTACCCCTAGACGTGAACAAGCAAAACAGAGGGCTGAGGGCTCAGTGGAAACAGGACTGGACCTTAATGTTTGTCTTAAAAACCTTCGCAACTTTTTATCGTGAATCCTATCGTGAATCCATCCCCAGGATTGGCCACCCTTGTGTTACAGAGAACCCCAACATAACGGAACAAAACTTGTGGCATAACACTGTTTCATAAATGAACTCAGCTAAAAAGCTGATACTAAAGCTATTTTACATATGAGCCCAGCTACTCAGCTGATGCTATTACTGTTATATAAATGAGCCCAGCTACTCAGCTGATGCTATTACTGTTATATAAATGAGCCCAGCTACTCAGCTGATGCTATTACTGTTATATAAATGAGCCCAGCTACTCAGCTGATGCTATTACTGTTATATAAATGAGCCCAGCTAAGACACGGCTGCCATCACAGTTTCCTGAAAACTAAGATGTAGGTTCCCATGATTGCATGTGGACTGCATGATGGAGTCCACATTATTGATTCCCCAAGACCTAGGAATCAATAATGCTGACTGACTCCATCATGCATTATCATAACAAAATCCTTAAAACAGAGTGCATTAAATAGCTAATTAACCGTACAGATGGACCCCTGACCTCTGCAGATGTTCTACACCAACTCCAGCATAACGGAACAAACTGGTTGCGTAATTCTGAATCTAGTGTATTTATAGCTCTTGCTGAGGGAGCGTTCACAGCTTCTTTGCTATCGGACCTGGAAATAATAAATGTGCTGAAAGGAACATGACACGAGCCCCACCTCCCCTCACCCCTCTGTACCTAGAGGAGTCCCAGGAGAGTGATATATTAAGCAGCTGGATTCCAGTGCCGATCTAGGGCAGTCCAAACAAAAGCACTATAATGAAGCAATACTGCCCTCCACTTCAGCCCACTGCCCTGGGGTCACTGATGTATTTCCCCAAACTGTAATGGAGCAGTCAAAAGCAAAAAGGTAGCGTTTCAGTGTTATTGCAACAAACAAGCACAATTCAGCCCGAGAAAATGGCTTTGACCCTCACGTACGAACTATCAAGAAGGAGCTTGTGAGGGTGAGGGACATGTAATGACTGGATCTAGAGGAACACTTCAGGAGGTAAACATGTTTTTCTGTTTTGAAATTGTTCCATCCAAAGCATCATCAGGAGAGTTCTTCTTGTGTAAAGAGCACGCTCACCTGTTTATAGAGGGCACAGATATGTAGGGCTGTGTTCCCAGAGGCGTTCTGCACACTCATGTCAGCTCCATAGAATAGGAGATGCTCCAAGTGCTGGACGTGGCCGTATCGACAAGCCTGTGCATACAAACATACTGAGTAACATCATATATACACTCATACTTAGGCCTGGGCAAACTTCATCAGGTACATTATATCATGTTATATATTTTAAAATAAAAAATTAGAAAGAAATTTTAAAATAGGTCTAATTCACTTGTCACAATATAGCATTCTGTGCAATCCTCCCCCTCACCACTAGATGTCAGTGTACAGCAGCAGCGGTCAGGCTTTCTAATGAGTCTATTTTACAGCACACATCTATCTCTTCAATTCAAATTCTCTGCTATTGTCTGAGCAAACTTGTTGCCATATAAGGGGATTATGATGACCTAACCAGTCATGACCAATGCTTTTCAATGTTTGGGTGAGAATTCAAAGTGAGCACAGGACCTGTGGGTCTTTTAAAGGGCCCATATCCTGGAAAATTGGCATTTCTAAATAGAGCGTTTAAAATAAAGTTTCAAAATGTACCGTTCACTGACCAGCCCATCAGGTCTGTACATAGAAACTAAGCTGAAAAAATGACTTATTTTGAATTTTGTGATGTCACAAAAACCAAAACATTTACATATATCCACCCATTCAGCCTACAGCCACTAGCCCTGCACATACACGCTGAAGTTATAAGGAGTGTTTCAGCCGGGACTGCTTTCTGAATGAGGTCCAATACAGGGCAGCCAATCAGAATAGAGGTCATTTACATAGTGATTAAAGGCACAGTAGCCTGTTCAATTCTATAGTAACATAAAGAGGCTGGAAAATGGTGTAATGATGTAAAAATGCATTATGGCTGTACACAAACCCATAAAAATGTCCTAAATGGACCCCAAGAAACAATATATATCTCTCTACATAAACAGATAGAGATAAAAACAGTTATATGCAAAAGTTTGGGCACCCCTAGTTATGTTTTTATTGATTTTCTATGTGAAAATAAATTCACGCATCCTCTACACATTCACTTCCTCTGCTCATTTTAATGCACAATTTGGGGAAAAATTAATAAAACATAAAATGTGGCCTGTGCAAAAGTCAGGTAATGTTTTATATTTTTCCAATATAATAAAATCAGCAAACAAAAGAAAGTGTGCACTAAAATTTGCAGAAAGATGTCATATTTAAGTGTGTTCCCTGTAAAGGATGTGTTAACTTAGTGTCACTCAGAAGACCAAGAAAATATGTAATTTTGGACACCAGGGGTGAAATTTTTATCAGAGTCTCAGGCTAAAAAATATGTTTGTCTCTAAACATATATCTCTGAGAAAGAGCCCTCGGCAGGATGAAGACAGCGCTCCTCTTAACGTCAACACCTACTAATATACAGTTTCTTTGTTCCCAAAACCAGCCCTCCTCCTCTGTCATGTCAAATGTTCAGTTTTACACCCACTCCAGTGACAGAAAACAAAGACCATCAACGCAAAGAGACAAGTGAGAGCGCCACCTGGTGGACTTCGTGCCAGCCGTTCTCGTCGTGACAGGCCACGGTGGCATGGGCACGCAGGAGCACCTCACAGCAGCTGGGGTCACCACCCACGGTCACTGTGTGGTAGAGCGGAGTCAGACCCTGACGGTCCTTATAGTCCGGAGACGCCCCCAGCTCCAGCATGGCCTGCAGAGAGAGAACCACACAGTAGACGTCCTGTAATACATCCGTATTCAATGTGGATTAATAAGTGTTTCTTAGCGAGCAAATCTAATATACGTCCAGTATATGTCCATATGTTTAATATGTTTTAATACACTGTACATGTCAAATATATTTAGATTCTGTATGAGAATTTACTTACATATCTATGTAATTACATTTTCATGCTTATTTAATTTCATATTGCTTTGTCCTATTTGCTGTATTTGTTTCTTCTGGTTTCCTATTTGTTTATTATACTTATATTCTTGGTTAATCTGCTCATTTTTTGTACAGCACTTCGAGTAATGGCAGCTAATTTTACTTATGCTTTATAAATAAACCTTATTTATTATTATATTTTATTGGTATGACCACAAATACACACATTGATTGTACAAACATAAGCAAATACTATATTCTTTCTCATATCAAATGACAGCAACTTTAATATTTTAATACAAAGAATACATTTATTGGAAGAGATGAAAAAAAAACGAATTCCTCAAAAGATAGGTACACTGCCTAAAGCTGTTCCCTTTTTTCTAACTTCTGTGCATCAACATAGTCAGATAGTATATTGTCACTGTCACTCTCTGTCCCTCTTTCTCTGTTTTTGCCTTTGTTTTCTTGTTTCCTTGTCATGTGCTTTGGTTTACATCTTCCATGTGCCTTTTTTTTCTAGTGCCATGTGTGTTTGTTGTGTTAGCTCCTCTCCTGTCCTGCCCGAACTTCAGCCTTCGCCTGTTTCTTGTTTCCTAGCCCCGCCCTCTCATGAGTCTCAGGTGTTCCTTGTCTTCTGTGTTGGTATACACCGATACCAACACAGAAACACTGTGTCCACTCACTGTCCACTCTATTAGACACTCCTACCTTATCAGTCCACCTTGTAGATGTAAAGCCAGAGACGATAGCTCATCTGCTGCTGCACAGTTTGTGTTGGTCATCCTCTAGTCCTTCATCAGTGGTCACAGGACGCTGCCCACAGGACGCTGTAGGCTGGGTATCTTTGGTAGGTGGACTATTCTCAGTCCAGCAGTGACACTGAGGTGTTTAAAATCTCCAGCAGCACTGCTGTGTCTGATCCACTCACACCAGCACAACACACACTAACACACCACCACCACGTCAGTGTTACTGCAGTGCTGAGAATGATCCACCACCCAAATAGTACCTGCTCTGTGAGGGTCCATGGGGGTCCTGACCACTGAAGAACAGGGTAAAAGGGGGCTAACAAAGTATGCAGAGAAACAGATGGACTACAGTCTGTAACTGTAGAACTACAAAGTGCACCTATATAGTAAGTGGAGCTGATAAAATGGACATAATGTTATGCCTGATCGGTGTACATACCCCTGTTTTTCCACTGTTCCCCAGCCAGCACTGTTTGATATTTGACGTTGATGATTTAGGTTTGTGATTTTTGTGTTCTTGGTTTCCTGCTCATGTTTTCTTTGTGTAAGTCTAGACTTCGTTTCATAGTTTACCTAGCCAGTAGTTTCCTTTGTTACTGTGTTTTGGTGTGTTTTCCATAGATCCAAGTACTATTTATCTGCCTGCCTGTTTGGATTTTTCACTTAAATAAAATGCAATTGCGATTGTACTTGTCTGCCTCGTCAGCCCATTCATTACAAAACCTTGTATAATTCTTCAGCAGAATGAAAAAAGCTTCTTAACTTATACTGGAAGTAAAAAAAAAAACGATTATTTTATTTCAAGTAATGTTGGACCATTTCTGTTGGAGATCTAATGGAGATACATGTTTTTTAAGCACTTTGATAGCATATATAGAGAACCAACACATTGTTATTTGTCACATATTGGGTACAGCTGGTATTTAATCCCATTTAACACTATAAAAAGTGACCAAAGAAAACACATCAGCTGCACACATACAGTACTGTGCAAAAGTCACTAACATTACAAGAAATGCAAAAAAGGAAATCCATGGCTGGAGTGCAACGAGAAGTCATTTTTCTAACCAACAAATCAATAAAAGCAACAAATTCTTATGTTTTACTGTTTTTCTGTTTATATTTATTCTAATGTTATGTAGCGTTTTTACTGAAGACTGAAGACTTTTACACAGTACTGTACATGCACACAGCTTGAATGTATCAGATTATCGACAACAAAGGATACAGCAGTCAAGAAATACAACTACTGTCCAGGCTGTGTTCTTCTCTGTGGCTCTTTATGGATGAGACAGCTGGACAATAAAAAAGTGGAACAGGAAAATATTGAAACAAAACAAATGGATTCTTGATCAAATCAAGCCTCGTTTCTCACTCAAAGCCCAGATAACCAAACTGAAGGTTTTATTTTGGACGGATTCTGAGAACAGCCAACCAATAAACTATGCTTAAAACAGCTGAAGGTAACAAAGGAAGGCCAGCTACAAGATGGATGGATACAATCAGAGGTATCATGAACAAGCCATCAAGAATCCTAAAGACCCAAAGAGACGACAGTACAATCTAGAGAAACACTATTCATGTGGAGTCGGAATGACACTTAATAACATTAATATCACATTCACTGTCAGCACAGTCACCAGTGGCAGCAGACACGTTACCTTGAGAGCGATCTGGTTCTTGGCTCTGACAGCTTTATGGAGCGCAGTCATCCCATCACGAGAGCGGAAATCCAAATGGGCTCCTCCATTCTTCAGTGCTGTTATGATCTCCACCACATTGTCCAGATGGGCTGCCAGGGTCAGAGGGGTCTCTGAAAACCCAAAGGACAAGGACAGTGTTATTGAACAGACATTGATTAAATCATTACATTAAATCTAACTTCGTGAAATGAACACACACTCAATATATCCCTTGATGATAAAGGTTATCAGGGAGAAATATAATACTACATTTTTAAGGGAAGTAAAATGAGACAATCTGCATAATAAGACCTAATATAGACTGCAATGTTTCCAATTTGCAAGCAAGTTTCTAAATGCCAAAAGAAATACAGGGTGATTCAAAAAGATTCATCCGATTGCAGCAATGCAGTAAGTTGTAAATGGTTTAAATGAGCATAAAATCTATTATGTAATTGTACAAGGTCTCAGTATGAACCTCCTCCAGCTGTGCGGACAACATCAACACCATAGTCAAATTCATCCCATACTCTATTGAGCATGTCGGGTGTTGCTGCACTCACAGCTCTTTCAGTTTGATTTCAGAGATCATCCAGTGTTGTGGAACCAACGCCGAACACTCTGAGGTTCACTGCCCATGAAAATCAAGCTGTACAGTTTTGATGGATTCACTGTTATTGAAGTGGAGAACGCAAAGCGATTTCTGCTCAGGGGTCTCATCTCCTCACAGACTGAAGGGAGCCATCTTCCGGTGACAGTCAGAAACTCTATGACCCCCTCTTTCAATTGGATTGTGATTGGTTCCTTGGCGCCTCACAGTTGTAAAAATATGGCGCTTTTGAAATCCGATGAATCTTTTTGAACTTTTATCTTTTTGTTTTAAAACACTTCAAACTTGCTTATGTAACACCTTTCAGTGCAGTGTAAAAGTCTGAGATGATCCTTTCATTTCCTTTCATAATTTCCAGTCAAAACGGCCATTGAGTACAATTTAGTCATTTTTCAGAGGATATTTCTGAGAAGATATAAGATAATCCTCTGCATAAGGAATGAGAAGGTCAGAGGAAAGTAAGTGAGGAAACAGTTGTTTGCAAAACTGGAGTTCAAAAAGTCATTCTAAGTCACAACCTTCTAAAACTGAAAATGCAACGAATGTCTAAGACTGAACTTCAGAGGTGTGGAAAAATATCCCTGCAAACTTCTTTGAAAAACTGAAGGTGAGTCTCCTGAATAGAATGAGTGAGTTTACATGCACTTAATAATCCGATGACTGCAGAAAATCTGATTTTGTCAGTAATCCGACCAATGCGTTTACATGCACTCGAGTAATCAGATACTGGGAAAACTCCGGGTTTACAAGATTCAGGCAGTAATCTGATTACTGCTTTGCAACCAGCCAATAAACTCACAGAAGACGTGATGTAAACGTAGCGTAAAACTCAAACTTCATGCTGCGGCAATTTTTAAAAACATCGCACCACTTTAACTGAAAATATACACATACATCATCTAGAAGATGAAGAAAATTTAAATCCTCAATGTCATCAAGCATGTATTTGGTATATCTCGAGGCAATGCTGCTCGCTTATTTCTGGTACCGCAGTCTGTTTTCGCACATGCTCAGATTGAGAAATCCGAAAGAAATCACAGTAAGAGTTTACATGCACTAAGAAATCTGATTACTGAGCTAAAATCCAGCTGTTTTTATTGGATTTCTTAATTGGATTTCTAGACCTTACTTCAATCTAAAAAATCAGTGTGCTGTTTACATGAACATTTGAGTGATCAGATAACTGCAGAAGTCTGATTATGAGCGGATTATCGAGCGCATGTAAACATATTCAATGCAATATAGGTAAAGAGTGGACACACCAAATACTGAAAAATGTGATATTATAGTTGTTGAGGCTTCTGTATAATTTCCTGTAAAATATTAATAAAAATAAAATACATAGTTTCTGCTTTTTTCCAGATGCTGAAAATGAAAACCTTAATGCCTGTTTTGACTAATCATTAAAAGCCATTTGAAAAAGACTGAAAATGACATAAAAGGAAAGGATGGTCTCTGACGTCTGCGAAGTAACAGCTACAACCAAATACGTCACTTTTACAGTCCTTTAATATGTCTCTAAGACAGCTGTTGCTGAGATTTAATGCATGCTTGCTGTGACCTCACATGGATCAAACTGAAAATAACTTGCTTGAAGGTTGCATAATGGTCCAGCTGCAAACTTCAAGGACAGGGGGTCTTTCGGAGAGGTTGGTGGCAGCTCTAATGGAACATTTAATGAACCCATCAAAAGAACACCTGAGGGCTTTCCTTGATGTCGAGTGAACGTGCTGACATCAGTCAGCTCCAGTCCTGAGTAAGAGCTGCCCAAGGCTTTTACAGTACAATGAAGACTGTTTGTGTTTTTTGGCCTTTAAAGTGTTGCGATGCAGAATTCAGATGTTCGCTGTGTGCTGAAACTACACTAAAACTGGGCTTCAGCGTTCCACCCTTACACACTGTGCTATCAGACATGTAACAAACTACTCCTGTTTCCACCAGCCTGATATACAGCCATGTACTGTGACATTCACAAAACATCCTCAGAGAAACACAGACTCTATAAAACATCAGCCTCCAAAGATATACTTGTTTTTCGTTTTTTTTCTTGGCTTGGCAGCCTGCTCCCCAAAAACCTGGCAGGCAAACATTCAAAGTTTTGCAATAAATAGGAATGTTTTATTATGAGGAATATGTAAATGCACAGGCTGAGCAGCGCCTCATGCATACCTAAAGCTAAATCTGGAACCTGTTGGGAATAAGAACTGATAAAATGACTTTGCAACTTGTACTAGATGTTTAGACCAGCATGAGCAGTGATTCTCTCCAGCAGTGCATGGTCCCCTACCCCCCGTCTCTGGATCGTGGTAGTTTGGGTCGAGACCTCTCTCCAGCATCTTAGAGACTTTATCCACCTGATGATGCTGGATATAATCCATGAACTTCCTCAGGTTGGCCTGAGAGAGAGAGAGAGAGAAAGAGAGAGAGACAGAGAGAGAGAGAGAGAGAGAGAGAGAGAGAGAGAGAGAGAGAGAGATAGAGAGAGAGCAAAGAGAGAGAGAGGGAGAAAGAGCGCAAGGAGAGAGAGGAAGAGCAAGAAGAGAGAGATCAAGGAGCGAGAGAGCAAGAGCAAGGAGAGAGGGAGAGCAAGAGAAAGGGAGTGAGAGAGAAAAGAAGAAAGAGAGAGAGCAAAGAGAGAGAGAGAGGGAGAGTGAGAGAGAAGGAGCAAGGAGAGAGGGAGAGAGAGGGAGAGCAAGGGAGATTGAGAGAGAGAGAGAGAGAGAGAGGAGAGAGAGCAAGGAGAGAGGAAGAGTGAGAGAGAGAGAGAGAGAGAGAGGAGAGAGCAAGGAGAGAGGGAGGGAGAGAGAGAGAGTGAGAGAGAAAGGAAGAAAGAAAGAGCAAGGAGAGAAGAGAGAGAGGGAGAGCAAGGAAAGAGAGAGGGAGAGTGAGAGAGAGAGAGCAAGGAGAGAAAGCAAGAGAGAGAGAGCAGGAGAGAGAGAGAGCAAGAGAGGGAAATTGAGAGAGAGGAAGAGAGCGTGAGCGACAGCAGAGACAGAGAGAGAGAGAGAAGGGAAGTTTAATGAGCGAAAGAAACCGAAACGACATGAAAGGATGGGATGCCTGAGTGAGGGAGGCAGCGAGGGAGGGAGGGAAGGAGTGATAGAAAAGAAGGGGAAGAACATGTGATGGGGTATGAATGTTGGATGAGTGTGGGTCCCTGCTCACCCCCTTGCCTCTCAGCATGAGGCCCAGGGACACATATGCTGCTTTACCAGGCCGGTTAAAAATAGATACCAGAGCAGCTCCCAGTACAGAGAGAGAGAGAGAGGGAGAGACATAGAGAGAGAGAGAGTGAGAAGGAGAGAGAGAGAGAGAGAGAGAGGACACAGCTGAGAGCGAGGAAAAAAAAGGGGAGAGATAGACAGAGACCACTGGGGATGCCACGCCAGACCACTAACACAGATCAACACACACTTCAACTGCTGTCAAACTACCAAACACACACACACACACACACACACACACACACACACACACACAAGAATGGTCTCAATGACGCTGACCAAGAAAAACAATCCATACATTTACATACTGTACACAGCAGTGTAGTTGTACATAAATAGAACTGTGCAAAAGTCAGAGACCACCCTTCATTTAACTTCCAGTCCAAACAGCCATTAAGTACCAGTTATTCATTTGTCGGCATCAGGAAAAAAAGCAGTTTCAGAGTTCAGTGAGTCACTCTATACCTTCATTACAGCTTCCATTCTCTTCAAGAGACTCACCTTCAGTCTCTCAAGTAAATCTGCAGACACGCCTCCAAAGTTCAGTCTTTTCTGAAGTAATCAAACACATTCAGTGATGTTGAGGTCTGGACTCTGGGGTGGTCAGTCCATTGTTCAGCTTCTTTGTTTGATGTGTCCGTCTCCTTTTCTCAGTGAGGTTCTTCTTGAACAGCTACACATCCTTTCAGACCCACAGCGCTGAGTCGTCTTCTCACAGTGGAAGGATGGACAGAAACACCTGTGGATGTTTTCAGATCTGAAGCAGCTTGATTTTCTCCTCTCTCTCAGAGATGAAAGCTTTAAGTGCTGTTTATCTGATGGGGGCAGTTGCGGTGTCTACCAGGTCTTCCAGGTGGTTGTTAGGAGTCTCATTTTCTCTGTAGCTTTTAATCATTTTTGAAAGTTTTAAAAACTCTTTTTTTCCCCACTTATTTTCCTTTGACTCCTTCCTTTTGCCAGAGGATTATCTTATATCTAATATCCTCAGAAATATTTCCTGACAAATTAACAGCTTGTAAGGCCATTTGACTGGAAATTTAGTGAATGAGTGTTAGTCTCTGATTATTGCACAGTACTGTAAAACAGAGGTGCCCATTAAAGTAGCATGTGCATTATTGATCTACAGGCACATCTCCAATCAGGAGAAAGTCACACTTTCAATAATTCACACTTCAGCTTTAGCTTGCAGCATCCAGCAGCTTCAAATCCATTACAGTAACCAGACAAGAACATCAGCATGTTCACATCTTCACCAAATCAATACAAACTGGAAATGCACACTAGTGCTGCACAATACAGACAAAATACGAGGCTTGTAATACTGCAGTATATTAAAATGACATGGGTTACCTCCATTCATCACAATACCCAGCTGTGATTGGTCAGGATGCTCACAGTTCACAGCAAAAACATTCGGATTTGTTAGACAGCTCATCTGCAAGGGGTGTGTAAACACACTGTATTGTATCGTATAATTTTAAATTGTACTGTATCACATTGTGTCTGATTTTGTATTGTATAGTATTTTCTTTTGTAATGTATCATATTGTATTGTACTGTATCACATCATAACGTAGCATACAATGTTGTATTGTATTGTATCATATTATAGCATACCATATTGTATTGTATGCTACTATACACCGATCAGGCATAACATTATGACCACCTCCTTGTTTCTACACTCATTGTCCATTTTATCAGCTCCACTTGCTATATAGGTGCACTTTGTAGTTCTACAGTTACAGACTGTAGTCCATCTGTTTCTCTGCATACTTTGTTAGCCCCCTTTTACCCTGTTCTTCAGTGGTCAGGACCCCCATGGACCCTCACAGAGCAGGTGCTATTTGGGTGGTGGATCATTCTCAGCACTGCAGTAACACTGACGTGGTGGTGGTGTGTTAGTGTGTGTTTTGCTGGTACGAGTGGATCAGACACAGCAGTGCTGCTGGAGTTTTTACATGAGGAGGTGGCCATAATGTTATGCCTGATCGGTGTATCATCATAATGTATCATTTTTTATTTAGCATTTCTATGCTGCTACATTACTTTTGCAATGCTGAATGCTCTAATAATGTAGAAATGGAAAAATCAGCATTTTAAAATGATCTCCTTCTCACAGTGGCTACAAAATGCAATTTCGGGGGTCCCTCAATTGAACTATGCATTCTGATGGAATATATGTTGCTGTAAATATGTATTATTTACAAAAAAGGTGTTTTATTGGGCTTAAATGCTATTTCTATTGCATTAGTTGTACAGGACTGTTTCATATGAATAAAGCTGCAGTTGTCCATTTTGTCTCAACAAGGCCATCTTTGTAGAGAGGTGTGAATTGTTTTCACAGCAGTGGCTTCTCATCCCTCCCCCTTCCCCTACATTGCTTGCTAGCAGCTTAACACAGTCACATTTCAGACACAGAGAGCCAACAGTGTCCTTGTTAACCTGATAACAGAGTTACAGTCAAAAGTATTTTATTTGATTATATTAACCCTCTACTGCATGCATTATGATAGCAATTTAAAAACTTCACTTTCTTGCATAAAATGGTCCTTGATTATTATATCATATAATTATTAATTAATTAATAATCTGTCCCGGTTATTAAATTGTAAAACACAGACAATGGGAAGAAATGACAGAACTGTGTTCCCTGAAGTGGCGAGACCTGGCTTGTGACTGGCTAAATCTATTCCGCTGTCGCACAATGTTGCTTCTAGGCAACAAACATATTTCTGCAAATTCTCATAACAAAAAAAAACATATACTGAATGTTAAAAAAGAGGTTTAAATGTGTCCACTAAGACATAGTATGACCAAGTACATGCTTTTTATTGACTTACTCAAACTTTTCCCTTTGTTGTTGACCCTATAATTGTGTTGAAATATGTATAACGTTGTTGTAAAAAGAGGAAAATGAGTTTGTTGCCCTGAGGCAACATCGTGCAATAGAGGGTTAATTAAAACTGGCCTACTGGTTGAATGGTCACTAGGGGGCCTGCAGACACTGCCATATCGTATGGTATCTGACACAAATACACAACTACACTCATCCAAAGCCCAGAGTACAGCCCGTCACCTTGAGCGGTGTCTCCCCACAGAGCCTTTACAATGTGCTAAAACCCTTTCACTGAGCGTCTATTCACTAGAGCCATCCTTCACACCAAACGTGGACACACTGCGGCTTCCTTGCGTTCCCTCAAAAGCCCGTGTGACTCCAACAGCCCTGATAAAACACCTTATTAAGGGAGTCAAAAAAGCACAGAGTAAATGAGCTGAAGTTTTCTGCTGACAGAGGCAGAGGGAGCAAGCTGGGAATGATCGGCCAGAGCAATAAAGCATGAACGAGAGAGACAACAGAGCTCAGCTCAGGACACGCTCCACAGTGCTGCTGCAAGACCTCTGCAATTAAAAGCTCACTCCAGTGCTACGGGGCTGCTCTCAGGAAAGGGGGGGGAGGGGCTGGGGGGAGGTAGCGTGCATCGATCTATGAGCAAATATGCAGTCAAAGAAAAGACGTTTCCCATTGATAACAATCTCCAAAAGTTACGGAAACAAGCCAGCAATCAAAACATATGCAAATACAGGAATACAGGATTCTGGCTTAATCCATTATGTATGAACACTGGCATTAGTAGTGTGGATTCGATATTCCTTCTTAAAGAGCAAAGACATGCTACTGCTTCCTTCTGAATGTTTTCCTTTCCACTTCTGAGCTGCATGTAATTAAACATTTCCGCATAAATACGGAGCGATCATGAAAGGATCCTAATAACGGCACATGTATCTCCTCAGCTACCTCATGAGCTGACCAGCCGCAAAACAACTTCAGACAGAACTTCACACCATCATCAAAAACGTAGAAAAAACGCATGTTCTGGGCTTGTTTTCCAGCTTGAGTTTTGATGTGATCAGCGGACGTGAAAAAGGAGAGTCAGCTTTCTTTTTATTGATAGGTGTTACAGGGTTTTTGCAGCTCTGCATGAGATGAAAAAATAAATATATAATGAAATCCCACCTGCGTATGGAGCTTTTCAATCAGCTTTTCATTGACGTTGGCATGCTGGTACACCCTGCTCTTGTAGCGAAACTGTAAGACAAAAGGGAAGAAGAGAGAGAGAGAGAGAGAGAGAGAGAGAGAAAAGACATCCATTACTCCATTAACTCCTACGGAAAAGTGTGCAGAAGTACTACACGCCCCGCTGTAGCAGCGCGTAATGGAAGTGTTACGCTTATCGGCCAGTTTCACAACATGATGCCTTCAAGTCAAAGCTTTGATTACAGGCTGATACGCTTTTTAATTACCACCGACAGGCATAAAGGACAAGCCGAATGGATGGTATGATTCAATCAGCTCGGTGCGTAAACACCAGAGTAGACTGAAGATCATCACTGCTTTTAGTACCAGTACATAAACCAAAGGATGGTATGAAGTAAGTGCACCACTACGGCTGGATTAACTGGCTGAAATTTAATTAGGCCCCGGGGACGAGGACTGAGGAAATAACATGAGGAAACTGTAACAGGTCAACATCATCAACTGTTTATTTATCTCTTGTTTTCTTCTTCTTTCCCCAATTTATTCATAACTAGCTCCCAGTGCAGTAGGCATCTCTTACAGGACAGCAGCTACAGAAGCAGCAGTTCAGAGCGGGTTCTGTCAAAAATCCTCACTGTTCCTCCTCCTGTTCTGGTGCTTAAGTTTCTGAGGTTGCATTATGGCCAGTTTTGGGTTATGTAAAGTTTAATAAATCAGCATGTTTTAAAGTATTAAATGGGTCATTCTACAGAAACGTCTACTTTTCTATCTATCCATAGGAGTCACTGGTGTTACTGATCCTCACTGGTGTTACACATAATAAAGGTAACACCAGAGACATTTTTAATGAAGAATGCATTTTACACAATAACTGCTACAGAACATCAAACCACATGTTGTCAATCATAGAATATCCACTAAAATATGTAATTTAATCCATTTGTGTTCTATTTTTTCACAATTACCTCAGAATAAAGTCGGTCACACCAGTGACTTCAGCTAAAATCTTCTTATGAAATCATGAGCTAAATGAGAAAATCTCTGATAACTGAAAGACACAGTGGACTCACCATGTGCTTTTCTTCATAGATCCTCAGAAAACAGGTAAAAGGAAGTCAAGTGATGTCATCAGTGTGACTTTTATTACAAAATAAGAGATTTTTTGTTACGCAGTAACACCAGTGACACGACTCCTGGGGACAACTTTCATCATATATTTTATAATATTTATTTGGCATTTGTTTTCTTTATGTTGTTTAATTCATACATTTCATAGTCATGTAGAGATTATTGCAGTTAAAATAGCAGAAAAACGGGCAGAAAAATGTATGGCCTCACTCTTTACACATGACTGTGAGGACGAGCTCTTCTGTGGTGCTTGGAATTCTATATGATTGATTTAAAAACCAATATTGCTAAATTGAGGCTCAAGAAGGTGTAATTGTGAAAATAACTTTTATTTTTTAAATATAAATAAAAGTTTTATTTTAAAATATAAATAAATTGTAACCCTAACATACCCTAAAGTGTATGTGACATACTTTTGTTTACAGATGAGTATCATGCAGTGTCAGAAAATACATGAGCAAGTCTATTAGAGATCACTTAACAACTCAACATGGTTTGAGTTAAAGTGCATGATGATATAGGCATGTCGTTAGCACAGCGCTAACTGACAGCTTTAAGTTTCACTCCAGTGTAATTAAAGAAGCAATATTTGAACACTGAACATGTCTTGGTAGATTGAATATATTCGTGGTTTCTGTCTCTTTAAGTGTAGATTTTATGTATTTTTTGCCTTTTCCTTCTTATGAGGTGCTTTGGCAGTCAAAGTAATACCTCCAAAGTGGGCACGCCCTTGGTGGTGGGCAGTGGGTAGTCCCTCAGCGGTCTCTCTTCCTCCAGAAAGCAGCTCTCTCTGCCATCTATGGCTGGTTGAAACAGCCCGTAGTTCAGTACATCCCTCAGACTCTGGGTGAGTGTGCACAGGATCTGCTGCTTGGCCGCCCAGACCGTGGCATCAGACTTAAACCTCATGGATTTCTGCCAAAAAGCACAGACAGAGAGAGACACAGGGCTCTATCGGGCTTACACAGGTGTACACATGGACTAGAAAGATCAGCGCGCAGCCCAGTGCTGCCTGCCAGCTGTTCTCCATGCACAGCATTTGAATGCATAAGAAGGGAACAATGAGGTCTGTTATATAAAGCATTATTCTATAAGCAGTGTAGTCTGGTGTACAGTTTGTATTCACAGTGGAGGAAGAATGCTGACCCTAAGACCAGAAGCTTTTGTTCTGATTTACTCTGCTTGTTAGGATATGAAAAGCAAAACAAAGCAACCTGATAAAACTCGATATTTTGTGTGCTTATTACAGTGCTGAACATCACAAATGAGAATTTTTGCATTTTTGAAAAAAAAAATGTAAAGAAAGAAAGTTTAAAGGAACAGTCCAATGTTTTTCCCTGTAAACACCTATTGCATTGTGTCTTACTTCAAAAGCACAGATTTCACAATAAAAATATATTATATATGTATTTCTTTACAGTGGTGGTGATAGGAACCAGGGGTCGTGATGTCTACAAGACAAACATATCCATTTTATTTACGATCCAAACCACCAGTGAACCTATACGTGTCTTTCGAGTTTTTATATGTATGGCGTGCGCCCATCCCCCGGGCCCCGATGAGGGCCGCGAGAACCGGCAGGAAGGCAGGGAGGTCCGAACTCCGAGCAGGGACAAAGCCCGGCGAGGATGGCAGGGAGAGGAGAACCGCGAATGAGCGGGGGACGGCATGCGAATCCCAATCACCGCCGAGGGCAAGAGTGACGGTGGGAGGAGGGCATCAGTTGCCAGAGAGGGGAGGATGACAATGATGGCCACGAGAGACATGAAGGTGGGAAGCCAGTCCCAAACTCCACTGCCCAGGCCTCACCCCTGTACCGCAGCGAGGCTGCTTCACTACAGCTCACATTCGATCCAGGTGGCCGAGATGCGGTGCCGGGGCAGTTACGGGGAGGCGGAGCAACAAGCTCTCTTCTCCTCTTGGCTCAGGCGCTCAGCGCCTTTTAAAAAGAGCAGAGAGGGAACAGAGAGAGAGAGAGAGAGAGAGAGAGAGAGAGAGATAGAGAGAGAGAGAGAGAGAGGAGCAGCAGCAGCGACGAAAGACGGAAGAGCTGAAAAGCTTAGCTTGGAGAAAAGGACTGAAAAGTCCTGCTTGAAGCCGCTGAAAAGTGGCCAGCGCATCTTTGCTTTTTGGTTTTGATTTGGTTTACTTGGTGAGCGAAAATAAAGAAAATGGCTGCTGACCATAACCATGCACTATTTATAGTCAACGCAACATCAGAACACGCTTCTTCAGACTGGATGATGAATGGCGTGGCACTTTTGATTAGAGATGACTGAATTATACAAGACTGCAGAAGAAAATCCAGTCAGCAAATAAACGTTAATGGGGCTGCAATTATGCCTGTGCTCTCACAAGTGCGGACAGGCTCCAGCGGCTGCAGCATTATTCCCGGGCTGCTCTGCTCTATGTGCATGCAAGCACGTCCTCTTCACATCCGATTTCATACATATTTATTCCTGCGACCAGCAGGACAGAGTGTATGAAGCAGCATTCAGGCCTTCTAGCTTACTGTACAAGTTTCACTTGTGCCAGCAGAATTAACTTCAATCAACCACATCTTGTTATAGAGGACTATCACTACTGATTATACCAGTAACATGTTGATTATTTTGACGATTAATTATGTAATGTGCTTTTTAAAAAGGACAAATGAAAGAAATAGGAAAATTCCACCCAAATTTCTGCAGTTACAAGTATACGAATGACCTGAATGACCCCTGGTTCCTATTAACACCACTGTGACTCTCAATGACGCTGCTTATTTCTCAATGATTTAAAGACCAAATTATGCAGAAATGTTTAGAAATTGGTGGACTTCCCCTTTCACTGAACTACAAACTACGACAAACTATGCACTGCTAATCAAGGATTGTAAAATACTTAACTGGGAAAAGATAAACTATAAAGCCTTTGAAAAGACTTAAAATCTATAAATAAAATGTATAGACATTAGAGAATATACAGAAGTCTGCTGGTGAAAATGCTCCCACTTCACATTCTTTCTAATTTTCTACCAATTTTTTTACAACAAATTCTGTTATCAGCATAACACTTTGAGTGAGAAGTCGAATCTTTAAAATTTTAGCATGAATTTCAGAATTTCTTACTATTTGGTATGTTCGTCTTTCGTTTTAATGACAGCATGTAGTTGGAAAAGTGCAGCTTTTATGCGCAGATTTACTGACAGGCCCATTTATGTCAGTGAGACAGTCTGTGTCGTATAATTTGACTGAAGCTCAAAACCAAGCGAGCTCTTAGGGCTGATTTGTATTCTGCCAATCCACAGCAAAAAGCACTCTGACAACTTTCTACTGTGGTACGACAGCCGATGGACGCCGACACAAAGCGTGCTTGAACTGCAGCTTGTAGCACAGGACACGAACACTGTCACTATTACAAATCAGAGCAGTGTTTTACAGACTGGGCAGCAGTGTTATGGACAACAGACCAGCCTTTATAATGCAGGCTTTAACATGCAGATGTGGCAGTTACTGCAGAAATAACAAAATCATTTTGTAATTTTATTAGAGCTGTCAAAGTTAACAAAGTTAATAAAGTCCATTTAAAAAGCAGTGCATTTTGTTAAAGACATGGCTAAAATAAGCTTCATCATCATGTATTTACTATTTTACATTTTTTAATGTCAACCAGAATATAAAAATACAAAAATGCTGTTTCCAACTTTACCCACCGATGTCCAGTGAGAGCAAGAGTAGCTCCTTGTTCCAACACCTCTGTGACTGCAGCCTCTACCTTACATCTTTTTTTCTAGAGGAACTGGATCTTTTCCACTTTGCTGTTGGTTTGCTAGCTTGGGGGTTGTTGATTTATTCATAGTTCTCCTGTGAGCACTGTCCAGCGTAGCATGCTGAATTACTGGTACAAATGATACTTTGATACTTACATACTTACAGATTACAGATACGTCTGTGAAAAACCAATTCACGGCATTGAAGTAGCATAACATAATTTACCAAAGAGAGCCTTCAATGGAACTTTTTTGTTTTTGAATAGGTTGTTTTCTGTGTGTGCATATACATATATACATATATATACATATATATATATATATATATATATATATATATATATATATATATATGTACTAATTTACTTGCCCTCATTCAATGAAATTACATGCTTTTCATGTTCACAATGTAAATAATGTTACTGAATTACAGAAAGTAACATACATTCTGCTGAAACTTATTTTGTCCTCACATAACTAATAAAAAATGTGCAGCTTTTTGAAATGAAAAAATCCTGTCTGGGGTCAAATTCTAATAAATTAAGCTATACAAAAAATGTTTAATTGTGATTCATTATTTAAATAATCTAACAGTCCTAAATTTTATATCAGTGAACATATTGTCTATTGCTATCTTAAAAAAAAAAAAACATCTTTTTTGTCAATTTTTGTTTCTATCATATTATCTGACCATGTAGGTTATCCTTTACATTGTGTGACATGTTCATCATGATTGGACCAACAAAAATGCTCCAAAATGACTTTTTACATTTTCCTATTTACATTAAAATTAAGGACATATTTGCCTGTACATTTACTTTTTCTGTTACTGTTTTTAGCAGATGCAGTTAAACAATCCTGAAGTCTAAGGGTACTGCAGCCCCCTCATCACCCCTACGTCCCGCATCTCTGATCTACTATGGCTTTTGTTGTCTGGTTATAGGTTTAGTGTAGCGCAGTAATAGCACAAGGCTGTGTGTTGCACTGTGATGCTCAGAGAAACTGAACAATGCCGAGAGTCACGTGAGAGACGTGTGAGGTGGCCTTAAGGGTTAACCCAGGTGAATTTTTAGAGATTTGTGGGCTTTCAGGAGTGAGAATGCAACACTTTACTGTACATCTACTTATTCCATTTCCCAGCAGCACAATCTGCCCTTCCTGGCTTTCTGCATCTCCTACAGCCCCACCGGCTCTCGGCAGGAAGCTGTCACAGAATGGAGCAGGAGGCAATTTACAATAATGACATAAACTTAGGCCAAACCACATGGCCCCTTCTGCCTCGGGCAAACGGCAACACTGAGCTCGCTCTGTGTGTGTGTGAGTGTGTGTGAGCTCCGTTTTGCTCTCTTGATGGGGGCAAAGTGTCCCCATGACGACAGGAGACATGAACATTCAGGCAATGTGGGAACATTTTGCTGGTGTTCATGAGGAAAAGGTTTTTTTTATACTCAGTGTCACATTTACTAAACAAACAGCCAAAGAATTTCTGTGACTGAGGTTAAAGTTAGGTGCATGTGTAGCAGTATTACAGATGTATGTATACGTTTGAACACCCCTGGTCAAAATGACATGTTTTCTGGATTTTCTATGTAAAAATAATTTAACCATCTGCTGCACACATTATGACAGCAATTAAAAAAAATATTCAATTCACTTTTCTTGCATAAAATCAACCTGATTATTAAATTCAAAAACATTTTTAAATAATAATGTGCCCAGGGATCCTTTTGAGGTATGTTGCTTCAAGGCAACAAACATACTTCTGCAAATTCTTATAACAAAAAAACATACTGAGTGTTAAAAAGGAGGTTTGAAAGTGTCACTAAAGGACAGTATGACCAAATACATGTCTTTTATAGACTTACTCAAACTCTTCCTTTTATTATTACCCTGTCATTGTCGTTAAATATGTATTGTTAGTGTTAAGTGAGGAAATTGGGTTTGTTGCCTAGAGGCAACGTCATGCAATAGAGGGTTTTTTCACAGGTAACATATATATGCATTTTTCTGCAAATTTTAGTACAGTAGTACTAGTTTCTATTTATTCGCTGAGTTTAACATTTTGGAAAAAAAAACAAAATATAAAATGTGTAATAACTTTTGCACAGGCCACTTGTTTTTTTCCCAAAATATTATTATTAGTTATTGTGCATTACAAAGTGCAGATGTGTGTTCTCTGTAGAAAGTGTGTTACCTTATCTCAAATTCGAAAATCAACAAAAGCATGCAATTTGAACGGGGACACCCAAACTTTAGCATACAACTGGCGAGTAACGTTTGTTATTTGCTGACTGTTAATAAAACCTTTATAGGGTGATGACGAGTAACATTTGTTTATTTAATGACTGTTAATAAAACCTTTATACGGTAATGGTGAGTAATGTTTGTTTATTTAATGACTGTTAATAAAACCTTTATAAGGTAATGGTGAGTAACATTTGTTTATTTAATGACTTTTAATAAAACCTTTATAAGATGATGGCGAGTAATGTTTGTTTATTTAATGACTGTTAATAAAACCTTTATAAGACGATGGTGAGTAATGTTTGTTTATTTGATGACTGTTAATAAAACCTTTACAGGGTGATGATGAGTAACATTTGTTTATTTAATGACTGTTAATAAAACCTTTATAGGGTGATGGCGAGTAACGTTTGTTTATTTGATGACTGTTAATAAAACCTTTAGCATACAACTGGAGCTATAACATATAATATATTGCCGCTACTGTAACAAAACCTCATCTCCACAATGGTAACTTAATAAGCAAAAAAAGCTTAACTTTAATGCACTGCATGTCCAAAAATGTTCAGACAGCTCTTCAAATTAGTCATATCAGTTAATCATTGCAGACATAGTCGTTCAGCTGCATTCAAATGGCACAGAAAAGTACTGGGCTGTAGAAAAGTATTGGTACAGTGTGTTCTCTGGAGTGATGGAGCTCCATCCAATATCTTTGGGATGAGCTGGAGTGATCCAGAACTGACCATCCAACATCAGTACCTGACCTCACTGATGCTCAATCAGATCCTTACAGCAATTTTCAAACATCTAGTGTAAAGCCTTCTTAGAGGCTGTTACTACGGCAAAGGGGGACAAACTCACTATTAACACCCTTCATTTCAGAAAAATGGAGCAACAAGGTTCTGATATGACAGTTACAACATAATATATGGTTATTTAAAACACCACATGGAGACAGTAATACAAGTGTATGTGTGTGAATGTGTGTGCACTCACAGACTGCTGAAGATCAGGGATGACCACACAGATGAGTAACGAGTCTCTCTGGCTGCTGTCCAGTCGGCCACTGGTGGGCCGTTCGGCGCAGGGGCGCTCATCTCTCGAACTGTCCGAGTCCGAGCTGCCCGAGTCTGAGAAACTCTGAGCCATCTCCTCCTCGCTGGACATCAGACTGCGCGGCATGGCTAGCACTGCACACAGAAGAGAACAAATAACCAGAGTAATAACACCTTTAGAGCGCGGCTGTGAATAATGTTTATTTGATGACTGTTAATAACACCTTTATAGGGTGATGGCGAGTAACGTTTGTTTATTTGATGACTATTAATAACAACTTTATAGGGTGATGGTGAGTAACGTTTGTTTATTTGATGACTGTTAATAACAACTTTATAGGGTGATGGTGAATAACGTTTGTTTATTTGATGACTGTTAATAACAACTTTATAGGGTGATGGTGAGTAACGTTTGTTTATTTGATGACTGTTAATAAAACCTTTATAGGGTGATGGCGAGTAATGTTTGTTTATTTGATGACCGTTAATAACAACTTTATAGGGTGATGGCGAGTAACGTTTGTTTATTTGATGCCTGTTAATAAAACCTTTATAAGATGATGGCGAGTAATGTTTGTTTATTTAATGACTGTTAATAAAACCTTTACAGGGTGATGGCGAGTAACGTTTGTTTATTTGATGACTGTTAATAAAACCTTTATAGGTTGATGGTGAGTAACGTTTGTTTATTTGATGACTGTTAATAAAAGCTTTATAGCGTGATGGCCAGTAACCTTTGTTTATTTGATGACTGTTAATAAAACCTTTATAGGGTGATGGTGAGTAATGTTTGTTTATTTGATGACTGTTAATAAAACCTTTATAGGTGATGGTGAGTAACGTTTGTTTATTTGCTGACTGTTAATAAAACCGAGTAACGTTTGTTTATTTGATGTTTGTTATTAACGTATTTAGAGGACAGCTGTGAGTAACACTTCTTTATTTAATGTCTGTTAATAAAGCATTTAGAAGGCAGCGGTAAGTAACGTTTGTTTATTTGATGTGGCACAAGCTCGCCAGGTATTACGACACCTTTGCTTTTTGCTGAACTATTCCTACAAGGCCGGATCCAAACTCTGCACGGCAGGGATGGATGAAGAATAAGCACATACTGCTTTTTGTTTTTTGGACGGTGGACAGGCTCGAAAAGAGCTTGTTTATGAAACACATCCAGCAGATAAAAGCCGGCTGCTACACCTGCTGCGCCTCATTCATACGCAGAGAGAATTATGCCAGCCAAGTGCAGCGAAAATGAAACAATTTGAGAGGAGAGAAACAAGGCTAAGACAAACTGTTCACTACAATGTATCAAAGGGAGCACGAGCTCATCTCCGGAAAAAGAGTACAGTATCCTACAGTGCCGCACGTCCCTCGGCATTGATGAACGTCTACATAATCAAAAGTGCCTTCGAGGTACGGCGGACAATTTAGTTACTTAATCAAACTCAAGCTGTGAGGTGACAGTTAAACAACCCAGCACGCAATGCATGCACGTACAATGCTGTACAGTATAATTGTACAGAAGAACAAAAACACAGATGTTGTTTTACTATGTAAAGTGCTCCATAGATAAAAGGCACAATACAGCTTCATTAAATTGCACCTCCATGTTCCATCTTTCCCCCATCTCTGATCCTGTTCTGATAGGCTTTCTCATTAGCTACTTCTGTGGGCAGCTTTGTGTTTCGCAGGGGTTTTCCGAGACCTCCGCTTCGACACTAGCATATAACAAAGCACAGTAATTGGACAGGAATGTGGATGAGAGCAGAAACCACTCTCAATCTAATGCAGCAAGACAGAGAGTTCAGGATTACCTGGAGTTTCGATCCTGGTATTCCGAATGCCACACGCAGCGCGAGCAGGGCAGAGGGAACAGGCGGACGGGATGTCAGTGAGAGAACTCTACGGAAAAGCCTCCATGGGACCTCGCAGCAGGATCCATCCCTAAATCAACACATATACAAAAGGTTCTTTTTACAAGGCTAGAAAACAGAAAGGTTTTGATTTTTAGTAGTAACACTACTAGTAAGCACTACGTCCAGTGACACTGCATTACGTCCATTATGACTGTATTCCACCAGCTTCCAAGGTACCCACTGGTGTAATATTAAGAGAAGAAAACAGAACAAAACGTCAGGTTGGGATCTGTAGGACATTCTGTTCGCATTCCTTGAGCGAAGTATGCATACTCAACCAGCTCTTCAGAAAGTATGGGCTCATTAAAGAGGATTCCACTAATTTTTTTCATTATTTCTGCATAATTCAGCGATTGAGATGTAAACAGAACGATTCTGAGTGAAATTATGCATTTCAGACAAACTTACTAACTTACTTACTGACTCAGATTTCTTCACAGTGGTGATAGGAACAAGGGGTCAAGCTGTTTACAACGCAAATATAGCCACTTTATTTAATATCCAAAACCACCAGAACCTACACGTGTCTTCTGAGATTTCACATGCAATGCTGAAGATGGTAAAATAGTAGTAAGTGTGGGGATTATGTTGCCTTATAACACCCTGCATGTACTTTTCCATGAGAAATATATCACCACTGTCGGAAAACCTCGTATCTCCATTTTTGGCGTTTTTCATTTTTTTACATAATTTGAAAGTACCTGTTGCCCTTTACATTGTATGTGAATTTCATGATAAATGGCCCAAAATAAACGGCCCAAAATTACTTGGAAAAACGTCTGGTTGCATTGACTTGCATTAAAAATAAAGTAGCTTTTTCCTTCTCTTGTAAAGTTACCATTTTGGAGATACGAGGTTTTCTTCTGACTACAGCGATATATATGTTACGTGTCTGGGCTGGATAAAGGTGTCTGGTCAGTGTTTGCCTCTGTCTCTCTCTCTCTCTCTCTGTCTCCTCCCCTGTCCAGTTCTTATCTCTGTTATAGGTTGGTCACAGTGTCAACTGTCATTAGAGCCTCGACATCTTCCATTCAATGACCAATCATCGTGCAGAGTCCTGGCACGGGAGGAAGGACCTGAGTTTTGAAAGCAGCCTGGCAAAGCTCGCTGGGGAGGCCGGCGTTCTCCCTGTGCTCATAGCTGTGTAGTGTGCTACTGGTGTTAGTTGTTTGTAGACGCAGACACGTCAGCTTTGTACTCTTTTACTAATGTAGCTTTTGTATGTTGCTGATTCTAGTATCTGCGCCAGCTCTGTCACGCCAGTTTGGAGATTTGTTTTAACCATGTCAGCTTTGTGCCTTGAGTTGTTATCATACTAGCTTTATTGCCTCTGTCACGGTTTCCCCTTGTTCCTGTGTCTGTTTCTTGCTTTGTTTCGTAGCCATGTGCTTTCTGCCATGTGCTTGTGTTTTTGTTTTGGTTCTTGTGCTCCACCCTTTCCCCGCCTTCCCCATTAGTATCTTCACCTGTCTGTAGTTTCTGTCTCCTCCCTCCCCCAGGTGTTCCCTGTTTGTTGTAACCCTTTATCTAGCCCTTCGTTTCAGTTAGTGTTTGTGTGGTCTACTTGTCACTTTGTCTGATGTAGTTGTTCTTTCCCTGCTCTTGTTTCTTTGTTTAAATCTTGTAGGTAGTTACTTATTTTGGTTATTAAAGTCTGCTCACACTTAAATCCAGCCTCCCAGCACATTCTCTACATGACAGCCTCACTGCTTTACATCTATCTAGTCCTATTTCTCTCTCCTATGCTGCGGTACTTTCTTGGGGTTCTGGACAGGCTAGATGGGCGCACTCATACATTTTACACCACGTAGCAGCACAATGTGTAGACACATTAGGTAAGGGGTGGGAACCAATCCTTGTATTTATATTTTTGGTAAAATCTGTGTAGATAGCTTTTCTGTTTTGCTGTTAGCTGAGAACTTAAACTAAAGACCTAGGCTAGTTTTCTTTTGTTTGTTTTAAAGATTTCTTTGCTTTAGCACAGTCCAGGTCCATAATCTCGTTCACTTAAGCAGCAAGTATAACTGCTGTTTTGTAAATATTGTCAATAGTGTAAATAATCATATTCTTGGAGGTCTCACTGTGGTCCTAGTGTGATTGTAACATTACCCTAGCGTGCGTTAAATGGTAAAAGAAACAGAAAACAATCTGTGTCTTGCTCCTTCCTGGTTCGTGCTCCAAATTTCACATTTTAAATCATGTTACTGACCTCACTGTCGCCTAGATTTGCATGTGGGGTCGTAATAATATATATGCCAAAACTGTATCGCAAAATAACGACTCACCTATCAGGCAGCGTATTTTTTTACCATTTATTGTATTCAATGAAGTGTCTTTTTGGATGTCTGGTTCCTATCACCATCACTGTGAATAAGTCTGACTTGGTAAGCTTCTCTAGAACAAAGCACTTCACATCAGACCACTCTGAATGACACCGTTTGCCCTCTAACCATTTAATTATGCAGAAATTTGTAAAAATCGGTGGAATTTCCCTTAAACTTTATTAATAAAAATAAACATCATCTGATCCTGTCATACAGTGCTACATTTTGAAAATACTGAAATGTTGAATTGTATGAATGCTGCCCACCCCTAACTGAAGGCCCACGTAACGTGTTTGCTTTGAAAAGATAAATGGATAATAAAGGACAGAGAATCAGAGAGACAGAGAGAAAGAGAGAGAGTCCCAAGTAGACAGAACCCACTGGGGAAGTCACACCAGACCACTAACACAGATCAACACACACTTCAATAACTGCAGCTACAGTAAGAGGTCAAGTGTTAAATGTCTGACTGGGGACCCGCTCGGAAAACAATCAATTATCGCCGCACATAAACGAGACGACCAATTAAAACTGGCTTCAGTTCCCACCAACAAAGTGACCAGCTTTATAAACAGAAAGGGAAAAAGCACACAGTCAGATTTAACTAGGTCGTCGTCTCGGTCCGGGAGCTGCCTGACAAGCGCACAGCCGTAACGGGATAGAAACAGAGCGCGCTGGCGTCCTCCTCCCCTGTGTCCGGAGCAGACAGCCGCGTCATCCATCACAGCCGGCAGCCTCGCTCCCCTCCTCGACCCCTACTGCAAGGGGAAGTCAGCACTTTTACGTTTTCACGCCGAGGCTACCAGCAATTAAAACCTTACGCAAATTCCCTGTGTGCAGTTTACTGCAAAGAAGCTGTCATTAGGTTGCACAAACACGCAAAGCAC